TAGCGATGGCCTCCAACCTAGTAGCGATGGCCTCCAACCTAGTAGCGGAAACGCCATAGCGCTTTTGGATGGGTGGTCGAAGCGCCATTTACATCGTTTTGAGCGGTGAGCCTTTTAGAGCTGATTGTATTGGTCACGAAGTATGTTAGAGTACTAGCGATGGCTTCCACCCTAGAAAGCCCATCAGTTCACTTTGTGACGTATTTGTTCGTTTCCCTTTTGCGCCAGTCGTTGGACTCACAAAGTTGTGGATGCTGTGGCCGCTTTGTCTCAGGTGCTGTGTAGACTGTGAAACGGCCCCGTTTGCAACTAGTTGCGCTTCGTAGCCAAGCCGTGCACTGTGCCGCAAAAAGAGGTGCGTTTTATTTGTACGAATCAGGCGCAGAAAGAGGGTTGATGAAACACTTTTTGAAGCCAGTCCTACAACCCTGCTGATTTAGCATGCAATGATTTAGGTATGTTTGCTTTTAACCGGGCCCGACCCAAACAATGATGGTGTGTGAGCATTTAGTGAGAGACTTGCGCCACACGATCGTGTGCTTTTAACAGTCTTGCAGCTGTGTTGCTTACCGCTGCGTTTGGCTCTGGAGTGCTCTCGGGCACAAGGTCTGGGAATGCCTAAGACGGGCGCACCAAGGCACTGGCAATTCTTCCAAAAGTTTCCGCCCTTCCGTGCCAAACGTGTCCGCGCGTTGCTTCACAGGTCATGCCGTGCGATTTGTGCATCAAAAACCGCCAGCAGAACATCCTGGTCATTACAGTTGAGGACTTCGTTGGCAAAGAGCAGAGAATGGAGTCACTTTTTGTTGGTAACGAAGCTTCGATCACCGGTCACGAGGTTCTCGAGGTCCTCGTCCACGAAAGTCGATCAGCGCGGCAAACGCGCTCTTTTCAGTAGGCCATTGCCCAAGTCGCGCGCGCGCCCGCCACTGAGCTTGAGGCCTGAGCGCGGCGATCACAGTTCACACGTCTGATCCACCGGGTTGTGCGGCGCACAAACAACATCGGTGTAGATCTTTTGAAAGAAAGAAAATGAATTCTTGGCCTCTCACTTCTCACCAGTCTTCACTTGAGGTGGCTACTCCGAACAACGTGCCATGGGTTCCACCAACCCGATGAACACCCTCGCCCGATGCTGTCGGGGTGCGTTTGTCAAAGAACAAATGGGCACATGCCTTGCACGGCTGTCGTTCGTAGAGCATGTTCGCGGTCCGTTGAGCAACACAAGCCCTCGATGCATGCCAGCAGCCTCCTTGGCTTGCTAGATAGACTGGCTTGAAGGAAGCCTGTTGTCCTGCCACTTTGAACTTGTGGTTGAAGTCTGCCTCTTGCTTTTCTTTCATGTTGTGGTGCTCCTTTGCCAGCACCCGTAGTTCTCTTTGTGCATCTTGTCGTGCCTGTTCCCACACTGCCAACTCTTCTTTCAATCTCTGGTTCTGCTTGGTGATTGTGATGTTCTCCTTGCGCAGCTCTACCAGTCTTTGTTCTTCAAGTCCGGTTCGGGTTGTCTGGGCATCATTCTCTTTGAACTTCTTCTCAAGGATCACAATCTTCGGACCCTGCGTCCACTTCCAGAAGAGCCAGGTGAACATGCCGAGGAACGTGATCATCAAGATCAGCAAGACATAGTCAAACAGGTCATGTTCCTCCCCCTTGTAGTGACTTATAGTGCCCGTGAAGTTACCATCTTTCTCTTCAAGAGCGTTCACAGTGTTCAGGAAGTAGTTTGAAAACATTGCAAACAATGCTCTCTCAGGTCGTCTGATGGCATACATGTTCTCACCTTTCTTCCTGTTGGTCACATTCTTCCGTTTGGAAGCCTGGAAGGTCTCGTCGCTCTTCAGCCTTGTCACATGGGATCGGAGTCGTTGTCCAAGAAGAGCAGCTGCTGAATCCTTGGTGAGACCATCAGCGTACTGGAGCTCAGAGGATACCCACATGACTTTTCCATTGCAGCATGAAAGCTTGTCTCAGACACACAAGAGCCTCAATGGTGGTTCTCTTATCTGCCCCTGTTGCTGCTTGGATCTCATCTTTCACCAGGACATCATATAAGGCCTTTGCATCCACAATGAGCTTGGGACTGTTCTGCAGATGTCCAGTGCTCACGGAATCCAGTGGCATCAATGCCTTGAAGATGAGGTTCCAGAACAAGGAGGTGTACATGAGACTATCTGCGGCTTCACTTGCTGCCTGGGACTCTGCTGAGAGCGTGCTTCTTGACACACGTGGTAGTTTCCAGCTTCTCCAGTCAATCACATTGTAATGCCCTTCACACTTGCCGTTGGCGACGTCCTTGTGGCACATAGCCAGAAGGTATCCGCCTTGGCTGCTCAAGTCTGACCTTGTTGCTGAAGGTCATGTCTTCTTTGGCTCCAAGACATCTGTACTGGAGTCCAACGTCGGCATACTCCTTGGCATAGCGCAAGTGCTTATTGCCTTTCTGAAGTGTTGCCACTGTTGCCTTTGAAGTCTCGCCAGCCAGTTGGGAAATTCCAACTTGGAGATGAGGTGAGCTCTGGGTTGCAGGCCACTGCAAACCACCAATCAGTCCACGTAGTAGAGATCGTTCTCGCTCTGTCACAGGAAGGTCAGGACTGGTCATACGCTCCTTGGCGATGGGTATTGGCTTCACCTTGTGGATGTAGGACTCTTGGCTCAATGCGAGGACGTCTTCAGAAAGACTCTTGATTTGGCTTCCACAGTACTCAAGGTTATTGCCCTCTTGCCACTCACGGAACGTGAAGACATTCTTGAGCTTCTCTTTGACCTCAAGAAAGTAAGGGTCTTGCAGGTCACCGCAACCAACTCGATCATCAACATGAATGCCAAAGATGCAGGCCAGCTCTCGCTCCACCGTTGGATCCATCACTTTTTCTGGGTCCAAGGGTCGATAGACCATGAAGAGGCATGGGTCCAGTGGATGTCTTTGGATGTTGCCTTCGCCAACTCGAAGAATGCGTTCTGTTGCCTCTTCATACCATGCCCGGGGAGCATCGCATAGTCCGTACATTGGCTTCACCGATCTCATCAACGTTGGTTCCTCAGGTGACATGCCCAGAAGCTGTTTGGCGTCACGTGGCAATCTGATCCTAATCACTCGCTTGGAGTCCTTGTCAAAGTTCTTGCCCTGCAAGAAGGCGGTCGTGATGTCTGAGGTGAACATGTGCCATTTGTAAAGTTGGCAAACGCATAGTACCAAGCCTCTTGCCAGTCTGGTCAATGTTGGGGCATTGGTGGACAAAGCTCCGGAAAGTGCATCTGGGTCTTTGAAGCCTTGTGTGATGAGTCTTGCCTTTGCTCTTGGAGTGCCATCTTCATTCTTCTTCCAAGTCAAGATGAAGTGGGCCTTGAGGATTCGCTCTGGGTCTGCGTTCCTCTCCTCATCATAGAGCCATACTTCATTCTTGAAGAAACTTTCCAGCTCTTTGATCTTCGCCTGGATGAAAGACTGGCGGTCGGCCACACTCATGTACCTCTCGAACACCTCGTCCTTGCCCTTCTTCTTCTTGGCAATCTTGTCTGAAGGTGTTCTCAGGGTCTTGTACCCGTTGCTGGCTTTCTTGTAGTCCTGTTGTGCCTGTTCACGCCAGTTGGGTTTAATCTTGAACTTGGTTTGTCCCGTCCAGTAGGCCTCCTCGATGAGGGGGTTTCGACTGTGTCTCTTCCATCGGTCCTTGAAGGCGCCGTGCGATGTGCTTGACACTCGCTCCTTAACCAGGGGCATTCCTCATCCGATGGGCGATATGCCTCTTTTCTTGGGACGTAGTGGTTTCAATTCCCTTCCATGACCCACTCGTCTTCGGGGCTATCTAAGCAGAGCCATCCATTTTCAAGGTGCCACCCTGGTGGTAGGTCATCAATCTTTTGAACATCCACCTCAATCTGCATGTTCATGTCCTCTGTGGCCACCTGATCGTAAGGCGTTGATCGGGCAGTCTCTGACTTCATGGGTCCATACACCGTTGGCTTCTTGAGGAAGGACAGTGTCTCTTGTTTGTCAACTCTGCTTCTCTGGTTTCTGAAGCTCTCATTGACTGTGGGTTCATAGAGCCTCTTTTGATGTTCCGGAACCGGTGCTGGAGGCATCTCTTGTGGTGCTGCTTCATTGCTTGGTGGTGCCGGTTCCTCTGTGGGTGCTTCATTTGCTTCATTGTTGTTCTGTACTTCTTGAGGTGCATCATCTGCTGGTGCATTGGTTGCCGGGGGTGCCGGTGATGGCATTGCTGATGCTGATGTTCGTGGTTGATCATCTTCTGGTGATCCATCCTCTGGTTCAGGAGGTTCTTCCGGTTCATCTCGCACCAGTTGTTCGAAGGTGTCATCTGAGGCCGTTTCCACGTCGTCATCTATCTGGAAGGTTGTTGTCCCTGTCCACCGGTAGTGGAGGTTCCTTCCGGCATCAATCGTCCGCCAATCGTCTCGTAGTCGAAGATGTTCAGGATGAGGTGGGTTTCGTCTGATGACAGTGAGACGTTGGTTCCGGAAGCGGTCTACAGGGACATCATCTGTGCTGACTGGCACGAAGAGTTCTTTGCGCTCAACATTGTGCACACGGGTCCAGGTCTTCTGATCATCGCTGACTTGCCAATAGTCAGCCAATCCTGGATTCACTTCCCCTTCTTCTCCTCCTGCCATGTGGTCACCATCAAACTCTTCATCTTCCTCATCACTGGAGACTTCATGTCTTTGTCTTTTGTTCGTCTTGGTGAGGTCGGTGTAGAGAGTCGTGCCCCCGCTCCTGATGTTCTGCAGGCTTTGCTGTGCCTTGAAGGGATCATCATCAGCTGCCTTGCCAGAATCCTCCACAGGTAGAGGTCGAAGATTGTGTGGTGCTGTTCTCAAAAGGTTCGTGCCGTGTACGATCCAGTATATGTTGGAATGTGGTCCTCCATCAAGTTGCTCGACCATCACAATGCGGGCAGGTCCGCGCCAGCGTAGTTTGGGTCCTATGCCACCAGGTCCATCTCGGTAGTAGTAGCGCATGTCCCCCAAATGAAACACGATCAACTGGCCAGCGAACTTCCGGTTCATTGCCCGTCGCAGTCTTGTATCAACATCTGCTGAGAAGACGGCGTTTGCTGCTGCTTTCTGCCTCTGAAGCTTCTGCAAGAACTCGTCAGAAGGGTCGAGTGATGGTGGTGGTAGTGGTTCTTCTGTCAGTAACCCAGGAATGTGAGGCGTGTAGCCCAAGACCCACTGCACTGGACTGTAGCCTCGGACATTGGTGCTTCTGTTGATCTGAGGAACGACATAGCGCAAAGCCTGTATCAGCTTTTCACGAGGTTCCACTGGCTGCAGTACGTTGCCTTGCTCTTGATCAGCCAGATATAGTTCCAATGCTCTCCTGGTCACCTGATGTCGTCGTTCCAGGATAGCAAGTCGTGTGTGACTCTGTCCAGGTGAGATCCTCAGCTCAACTCCTTGTTCCGAGCACCAAGACTTGACATAGTCTGAGGCCCAGCTCCTGTGGTCATCAACCTGTAGGGTCTGCATTGGTCCAAAGACACGCACCCAGGCTCTTTCCACAGCTAGGATGAACTCCTCTGGTGATTCCTTCCAAATCACCCGTCCAGCCAGAAAACGCGTTGCTGTGTCGCTGATCATCAGGATGGGAAGAGCTTTCTTCATGCTTGGAATCTTGATCCAAAGGGTGTCAGCTTGGACCCTGGCGTTGAACTCTTGAACACTTGGCACTGAGGAGACTGGTACTTGTGGTCGATGTTGATGCTGACGACACACATCACAGTCATGCTCTTGTGCACATTCGACAAGAACGCTTGAGGCCCCTTTCATCTCCAAGAGTCGCTTGAGCTCTGCATTGGTGGGATGTCCAAGGTTCCTGTGAAGTCGACTCACTGTTCGCTTGGCTAACTGGCGGTCTTGTCGTTGTAGTCGTTGAAGTACTCCAGTAGCCTTATAGCTTTGCACTCTGACTTCGGAGTCTGCTGGAGGTGCAGGTTCGTGATTGGGCTCATCTGGTTCTCGTTGTTCGGTTCCTGCCACTGAGGGAGTATACTCTCCCATGTCTTCAATTTCCCATTCTCCACCCTCCAGGGCAAATTCCTCAGGCTCATAGAAGAGGCAGTCGATTGCCGCACCAATGTGGTAGCAAAAGGTCGTCTGGTAGGCTCCGGCAGCTTTGGTCAGAGAACCAATTCCCGGCAAGGACCCTTCTAGAGGTAGGCGTTCATGATCTCCGGGACATCTCCAAGCCAGGTAGTCTGCCATGGAAGCACTTGTGAGCTGCAACCTGGTGGGCTTCTTCACATACTGGTCGGCAATTTTGGTCTCGTAAGCACACTGATCCAATTGACATGGCCAGCCAGGAAGGTTAGACCACGTCTTCGTTGACCATGCTTTGGATCCTGCTGGGTGCTCAATGGCTCCATCTCTCCCTTCATTGTATTGTATCACGAAGGTGCGTTCCGCCAATTTCAAGTGGACTGCTTCCTCATAGTCCTGTTCACATCTCAAGGCGAACTCCTGCTCTGGGGTCAAGGCATTAAGAGCTTGCATCTTGGACCACTTCTTGCATGCTGGAGCCAACCACACAAAGTCTGGTGCCACATCTTCCAGGAACTTGTAGTAGGCATTCCGGTGCTCAGGAAGATCAAAGTTCCAGCCGGTGTTGGTGTCAAAGCTATACACCAGGTAGCCTCTTCGCTGCATCTCCAAGGATAGACCGGCTTCACCTGAGTAGACTTCCCAAAACACCTTGGCTCCTTCTTCATGAGCACGTAGTCCTTGCTCCAACACCGAGCGTCGATGGGCAAACATTGTTGCATGATGAAAGCGTATGCCTCGGAGGAGTTTGTCAGTGATCTCTTTTCGAACTTCAGCCACCTGTTCATCATTTTGTCCTTGAGGTTGTTGATTCATCACAGGTTCATCATCGTCAGTGAGGTTGTCCTGGAAGGGTTCGCCGTCAACCTGAAGGCAATGCTCTGGTGGATCTCGCCCAGTGGCCTCAAGGTACTGAAGAAGCGTGTAGGTGGAGGAATGCATTGTTCCTGTCCGTTGAACCATCTCGAAGGTCTCGGTTGTCACCAGGTCAAATGCCAAGTTCCGGCCTTCTGGGTCACCTTGCACTCCATCATCCAACCTGAGGAGGTACTCACCACGGTCGCCCTTGATGGCTGGCTTCCAAGCTTGGTCGCCGTAGGAGATGAGATCTTTGTCCCAATCCACCTTCACCTTCAATGACTTGAGGATGGGTCGCCCAACAAGCAAAGGCGTAGCGCCGTCCACCAGGAAGCACTCAATCACGCCTGACTGACCATCCACGTAGACCGGAAGCTTGACGGTCCACTCTGCCTTCCTCATAGCATCACCCCCAAAGCCAAACATCTTCGTGCACACCACGCTGGGTCATGTGCTCGATGATGTTCATGAGCGTCTCATGGCCGCATACCATGCTGCTGGCTCCACCATCCTGCAAACCAAACCAGCCTTGCTCAGAGAGTTGTGGAGTCCCTTTTCGGCTGAGGTCATGCATCATGAAGGCTTGTCCTGAGGTCTTGGTGGAGGTCTCGGTCTTGGCCCGCTTGGGTGATTGCGAGGTCTTGTTCATTGGACGCTCAGCTGCTGCATGCCCGAAACGTCCGCGCTTGAAACATTGCGTGGAGTCTAAGGCCGTTCGTCCTCTGTTCAAAGCTGTTCCCTTTTGGGGTGGTGGTTTCCCCTTGCCTTTCCCTTTTTTTCCTTTTGAACCTTTGGTCACTGGCCTTTGGGAAGGAGGACGAAGTTGATCCAGGCATGTCAGACGGGTTCGACAGTGCCACCACTGGATAAAAACCTCTTGCAGCACGGAGATTGGCAAATTGCCGGCGAGCATCAAGATATGCTGCATAGGCTTCTTCAAGAGCCGGATCCGACGCCTCTGGCCAGGGCTCGTCCGTGTAGTAGAGCTCCTCATCCTGGCCACCGAAGGCACCGTCGTCCTCATAGTCCTCATAGTTGGCATCCTCTTCATAGAGCTCCTCGTCGGCCTGAACGTAGGTCTCCTCGAGATCGTCGTCATACTCGGGGTCATAGTCTTCAGCTGCATAGGCCTGTTGGCTCTTCCGTGGATACCATCTGCCTTTGCCCTTGACATGCTTGTTCCAGATCTTTGGCTGCTCTGACCTTGACTTGAAGTCTTGTCCCAGCAGGTAGTACATGACCTCTTCAACTTTCGCCATCTTCATCTCGGGGCCGACCTGTGACTGGATTAAATGCTTCTGTTCTTGCGTCAAGTTGCTCCGTCGAAGAAGCATCCAGCCACTGACACTGTCTGGGATGCGGATGTTGTGGCGTTCGATTTCTCGAAGCTGCTCTCTGTGGTCTGAGCAGTAAGATAGGAGCGTTTGGTCGCTCCTCCTCGTCAGTTGATAGAAAAACTTCTCGAGAGCTCTGGGCATTTCCACCCGATCATCGTACTGAAAGGCTGCATCCAGTGCTTTCAGCACCTGCTCAAAGCCGTCGGAGGCCTCGGCCACCTTCTCGACGAGGTGTTCGACCTGCTTCCATGCTGTGCCATTGAGGCTTGTGAGAAGGTTCAAGATCGCTTCCTTCTCTTTTCCTTGAAGGGCCAGTTTCTTCTTGTAGAGGATGATGCGCTGCCTCCACTCCTTGTAGTCAGCCACTCGGTTATTGAAAACCGGGATGTAGGTGTCCTTCATCGTCTCGATGGATCCGCCTGAGGCTGAGGAGGTAGTAGAGGGACCGGAGGCTGAAGGTCCTGGCATCGTCTCTTCTTCTTGGAGCGCCCTGGTAGCGCTCCGCTACCAATGTTGATAACGAAGCTTCGATCACCGGTCACGAGGTTCTCGAGGTCCTCGTCCACGAAAGTCGATCAGCGCGGCAAACGCGCTCTTTTCAGTAGGCCATTGCCCAAGTCGCGCGCGCGCCCGCCACTGAGCTTGAGGCCTGAGCGCGGCGATCACAGTTCACACGTCTGATCCACCGGGTTGTGCGGCGCACAAACAACACTTTTGTTGTCCACTCTTAAGTTTGTTGAGTTGCGATGGGAATATCAAA